GCCCCTGCCGCAGCAAGGGGCCCGTCCCCGCTGGGAGCATCCGCCGCCGAGGGCGCTGGGGAGGAGCGGGGCGGGAAGCGGCTCACGGCCGCGGGCGCCTCGGCAAAGGGGTGGGGGAGCGCCGGCGGGGAAGGGAAGAGTCAACGTTACCGGTCAGGGGGTCCTGAATACTGTGTGCCGGCCGTGCCGAGCCCTGGAGAGCTCCCGAGGCGCTTCTTCCGTGGGCACGGGAGTTTCGGAAGTGGGGCTGTACCGTTTCAGCTGGGACCTGCCTAACTTTCTCCGCTGGATGAAAACAAGTCATCCATACTTTCCAGTAATGTGTCAGGAAGAGAGGAAAGCCTCTGGGTGCCAGGATCTGATTAAAGTGCCTGCATAAGCAGTACATCTGTTGGCCAGGTGCTCCTGCAGTCTCTGATTCAAGCCAAACTGGAGCAGCTTTGAGCAAACACTTGTTTTCCTCTGTCTAATGAGGTTAAATTCAGTCAGGTCTAGCGCTATTAAACATTTTTTTCCCCCACATTTGATCAGGAGTATGATGGTGAACGCAATTCAGAAGGTGAGCGACATGGACGTGGAAAAGCACGTCTACCCAATGGTGATACATACGATGGAGAATACGAACACGGTTTCAGAAGTGGACAGGTAAGACAGTGACAGAAGACAGTGGTTGTGGTTAGGTTTCAGCAGTTCTTTTAGTTTGGGCACTATATTGAAACAAGAGTGAGAACTGACAAGAATTTTATCTATACCAAATATGTTTCAGGGGACCTACCGATTTAGAAATGGTGCTTGCTACACTGGAGAATATCTTCAAAACAAAAAGCATGGCCAGGGTATTTTTTTTTATCCAGATGGATCAAAATATGAAGGTAAAACAATGAACACAGTTGCAAGGATTTCTGTAACTGAAAGGACACATTCTTTCCCTCTCCCCCCTCCCCCACCCCGTCCCGAATGAAAGGAGATAGTAAATTGGAGAATGCATTACTTTAAGGAGATAAATTTGCTATGTAATGTTTTCCTTTTATTTCTTTTTTACTACAAGCTCTGAGAAATGTGGGGTTTATTTATGGGGACTTATGTCAATTATTGTAAGAAAGCTGGTATTCAGCAGCATTTTATTCTTGTCATGTCCTCCTTTCAAGTGGGGTGTTCCAAGTCCTGAGAAATATTAAGTATCTTCTACAAATCAGTGTAATCCTGGTAGAAGAGAGTATAGTTACTTATTTCTGAATTATGATTATAACTACAGGTGTGTTCAGTATAAAGTATTTCAGGACTTTATTATGTCCATCCTTAAAAAATAGTCTACTGATTAGAGCACTTACTCAGGGACTGGGATGCCTCTGAAGTTTGAAAAAGCTGAAACTCACATTGTTTCCCTTCTTCCAGGAGACTACCCGAAAAACTCTGAATATCAGTTAGGCTTCAAGGGACACTATTTCCACCCTCCTTTCTAAGCTAGACAAGAAAGAACATTCATGTTGTGAGGGCTAGAAGCAGAGAGCAAAAAGAGCAGCCCAGTCTTGCCTTATATGAGCATATGCACGTGTGATTTTTTTTTTAATTTATTTTAAGTTTGAATAGAAGAGTAATTAAGACACACAGTCTAGCATCCTTTTGAGTATATATGCCCCGTGATTGACAGGAGAATTTTAGCAAATGAGTCAAACTAAAGTAGTCCCTCTTTTTATTTGAGTCACATTATCTAATGCAACTGTAAGACATTACCAAATTTAAAGATAGGAGCTGCATGTGACATGACTTCTTGTGTTCATAATGATAATGGAGAGTGATAATGGAGACAGACTGTGATGGACAAAATGAAAGGGAGGTCAGGCAGCTGCATAAATATGTGTGGAGAGGAACAGACAGAAGGAAAAAGAGCAAGGGCTTAGAGTAAGGAATGGTGTAAGGAATGGTAAGGAAGGACAATGGTGTCATAGCTTTCTTTTCCTTCTCTAATAATTCATGTATGATAACTTTACAAACTGACCACTAAATCACACAATGAAATAAAGCATGTCTCACTGTTTTTATGGTATTCTCATTAAAGGAGACTGGGTGAATGACCAGAGACACGGCTACGGAGAGTATACATATGCAAATGGAGACACCTATACTGGAGAATGGTTTAACAACAATAGGTTTGTTTCATTCTTACAGTGATGTTTCAGGTCACCCAATGGCATTAAAATGCAAAGGTCATTTTCAAAGCATAGCTGACTGGAGCAAATCAAGGGCTACTGGATGACCCTGGCAATTTAGTCCATCTCGAGTCATTTCAGCTATTTAAATAATACAGTTTTAATACCTTAAGTATAACAACATCCTAAATTCTTAATATTCAGTAATATAAAGCAAAATTATTATTTTCTTCTTAGGCATGGACAAGGTACATATGTCTATAAAGACACGGGATCTAAGTATGTTGGTGGTTGGGTAAATGGAAACCAGGAAGGAGAAGCTGAACTTATCCACCTAAACCATAGATTTAAGGGCAAGTTTTTGAATGGAAATGTAAGTGTGCTGGAAAACTCTCTATTCATCTGAACAGTTAGCATGGAATTGCCTTAATATGACGTGTTTCCACTTAAAATAAGAAGCTAGGCTCCTGATCTTTTGTAGTATTTCTTGTACCATAAATGTAACATGAAACTGATTTAATCTGTAGGACAGAATGCCAAGTTTCTCTGCAACTTGGCTTTCAAACTATATTGTTATTGACTATTGTATGAATTTTGTAGTAAAGCATATTTTAAACTTATATGCTTAGAATGTACTAACTTTATAGTTCTGATGACTTTTTTGTGTCTTTGTGCAGCCTATAGGTCGTGGCAAATATATCTTTGATATTGGATGTGAACAGCATGGTGAATACATACAATCAGAGCAGGTAAAAGAAATAGTGCAAATTATACTGAATATCAGAGAAATCAGTAAATCAAATCTATTGTTGAGTAATCTATAAAATGCCTCATAGACACTGATGTTAAGGTAGATCTTAGCAGTCAAAAAAGGGTAGAAACTCATGCATTTTTAAGAACTAAATGAGGTTTCATTTTGCTTTTTTCTTTAGCTTCTCTACTGTGTAAGCTTTGACAAGTACAAGGTTTGATTTTTGCATTACTTGCAGACAGGAGTCCTTTCTGCTTAAAGTTTAGAAGATTCAGGACCTTCCCAAAACATTTAAAGTTTCAAAGCACAGAAGAATGTAGATGTATTTGTCTGTGCATTTAGCCTGTATTCTACTTCATTCTGAACACCAGAAAACAATGAAAAATATTTCTTCTTATATTTCCAAATTGCTTGTTGCTCTTTGTACAAATGGTAATTTCCAGCAGACTCGTGTTTTGGAAATATGTCCCTTTGTTGTCCTGGTCCTGGGAGGAGCTTAATATCCACAGCTCCTAATAAATGTAGGGAGCAGCTGGGATCAGGGCTTGTTTCTCCTTCTCCTTCATGTGTGAATGTTTTGAAATGTTTCTGATTGATATGGGGCAAAATAGCTATAGAAATAAGAAATATATCAATATTACTGGTTTGATTTCAAGAAAATATGCCACATTTTAGCTTAGAGTTTGCTACCTCTGTTGTCTGACACATTAGTTCCCATTACACACTCTTTGAAAATTCTCCGATGCAGCAATTGTTTCTTAAGACAAGGACAAAATAATAACAAAAAAATCCTATCATTAGTGATAGAGATTTGCAAAACATGGAGACTGTTTTGCTTTTTTTGGCTAAAAGCAAGAGATCCTCAAATTAAGTATCAGATTCATATGAGCATCCAAAGTGATGTGTGTCTAGTATCCTCAATTCAGTTGGGAATTGTTGGATATGCTGATTTTGGAATATTAGGCCATTCATGTGGGAGTTTAAACATGAATTTAAAAACCCCAGGTTAAACACTAGGCTCCTGAAAATCGTTACTCTCAGGAATAATAATTTCTTCTCATGTGAATGCTGTAGTGACTGTGTAAAGCAAGGGAGAGTGCTGTCACTAAAGATTAAATTTTGCCTCTTTGCTTTAGTTGAAGTAATTGCAGAACAAGGCCCATTTAAAAAAAATTAAAAGAAATTAGCTTGCCATATAGATAATGATTCCATTACTAAGACTCCTTCATATTTGAATAAAATAAAGCATGATTTTTTAAATTAAAAAAATTATCTTCAAATTTAAAAAACATCAGCTTTGTGCAGTACTTTACTGCTTCCTAGGTCCATTCCAAGGTCTTTCCTTAGCAAAGATTGAGGCAGAAAGAGCTGTTTTGCCGCTCTGATCCTGTGTGAGATAGTGTAACATCTACCAGACAGAGCATCAGGTCTTATTTGCTGCTGTTATACTGTAGACAGGCACAGAAGAGGAGACATAGTTGATAGGCCCCTCACAACTGATCTGTTTAAGGGAGAGACAAAATTTTACCCTAAAGAAAGCAAGCTGGTAAGCACTGATCATTAGTAATAGTCAGCTGATTTTATTAAGGTTCAAAGTATAGTTCTGTTCCAAGATTTGCAGCTGCTGAAGTTCCTCCACCTGTAAATACTTTAAAAGGCCATGTCATTGCTATTTTGAGCCCAGATAAAGAGGTTTTAGTACACAAAACCACCATCTTAGTTACTCCCTTAATACCTGTAAGATGAGATGCTGGATTTCCAGAGTTGTCTTCTAGGATAAAGGAGAGGGAGAAGAAGAGGAAGAACCCTCATTGCTTGTTGCACCAAAATGGAAAGCATCAGAAATTACCAAACTAACACTCTGGACTCCCCATGGGGAAAACCCACCTTCTCCCAGAGAAGCCTCCCTAGTGGGAGCAGCAACAGCAGCAGCAGCAGTGGAAGAAAGAGCAGCAGCAGTAACTGAAGAGGAGAAAATGCCATCAATTGCAGGTCTGTTCTGCTGGAGAGCTGGAAACTCCATGCTTTCATTATCCCCTGAAGCCGTGTTTTTCAGGTTCAATATCAAGTAGTGTTGGAGGGTTGTTCCCCACCCCACCCCCACCCCCCCCCAATTTACCACATACTGAATGTTAGGAACTTCCAAGTCTGTTCATAAACTGCACAATATATATATGTCTGGTTTATCTCACATAGCATAATGAGATACAACTGTCTTGGGAAGCCTGTGAATCATTTTAGTCTATATCATGGCCTGTTATACAAACTTGATTATAAACAGTTACAGAAGATTTTGTGGGATTTCTCATGTGAGTAAAGACTGCAGACTTCAGTAGGAGTTATTAGCTACTGCATGAAAACAATGGCTGAGTGCAAATTTGTAAAATTAATTTTCTTTGGTATTTCTAATTTCTCATATTTCAGTCACTGATGAGCCTGCTGAGGGTAGGGATGATGAGCCTTCTCTTCATGAAGTATCCAGTGAAGTTTTTAGCCCAGCAAGGGATGCAGGAGAGGAAGATGAGGGAAGCAGAGGGGAAGAAGAAAACAAAGATCAGGAGGATCAAGGTGAGGAATGGGGCGTGCATGCTCATTTTTCAATTACCAATCAGGGTTTGAAATTATGTATGTCAATCAGCTGCAGTCATGCTGCTGTTGAGATGTCCATTATCAAGCTGAAGAAACCGTGGAAATCTCTACCTTTAATACGGGGGCCATCCTCTATAGACGTAAACTGGTTTTGAGTAGTCAAGTTCATATAGTGTAACAGTACAAATTAGAAGTGACACTTCTGTGCAGCATTATCTATGCACATACAGTTGACACCACTTGCAGAGCTGAGTTTGTAAGTGATTGCATTTGCAAAATTTTTTTTGGTACAAAAATGAGAGAGAAGATTTCAGACCCTGTGAAATTCAAGGGGTTTTGAGCATACCACTTTTCTCTCATGGGTGGAACTGTGTATTCTTATTCTCTCAACTGAAGTTAAAAAGGAGGCCAAACAAATCTGAAGAAACAAATTTTAGGTATTGTTATGCATTATGGTTTGAACAGTCTCTGGTTGATTTGTTTCTCCTACAAACCAAAGAGATTTGGAATTCAGATACTCAGGTTCTCTTCCAGGCAGTTCAGAAGACTGTTTTAAATACAAAATTACTAAGAAGCAACAAAAGGATGCATCTACGTTTACTCATATTCAGCTGATAGACCTCTACCCAACTGTGTTGTTTGTATTTATTGTTAACATTTACAAGCTTACATATCTGATGTATGAAAACATAAAATAAATTTATCCATTTGTAATCAGTCCATTTTACAATAAATCAAAGCAAAGCACTATCCATCGGGATCAGAAAGACTATTAAACCATGTAAAAATGCCTGGAAGTATACATTAAACATTTAGGTTAGGTCTTGGAATTTTTGTAGTTTATTTGCTCTCATTTTTTACCCATCACCTCTGAAGGTGCTCTCCTGCTTCAGGGCAGACTAGCCAGCTAGCTGATCTGGTGTGTCGGAATGATATCTTACAGGATCCCTGGGCTTGGATCAGATCCAGCAGAAATCTCAGTAGGTTTCCTGCATAGCTCTGCTTTGGATTTGGCAGAAGTTCACTGAGCCTGTCTCAAAGTTTGTCTCAAAGTCTCTTGGACTCAAAAAACCATTTTGACTAAACTTGATTCTAATAAATTTTCTGGCCTACCACAACGTTCTGGTATCTCCATTGTTTTTTGTGGTGTTTTGCTTTTTTTTTAAAAAAAAAAAAACAACTGGACCCAAGTATCTGTCAGAGACAGCATAGATGCAGATACCAATGCAAGAAAACATAGGAATGTGGTAGATGTTCTCAAAGTTCCTTCCAGCTCTTTATTTCTAGACTCGGAGAGTTGGATGATTTTATACATTTTTCAGCATAGGTCTACATCCATAATTAATTAGAGAACATATTGTTCCCCTTGCCTTTATGTTTAGCAAGATTAAGTTATAGTAAGAGGAAATAATTTGAAGAAAACATGCATACAGTGAAGAGCAGATGTAACAAAATCTGTTTTCTTGCAGCCTTATATTCTCTGTCCCATTACCGTAATTTTTTTCCACACAGGAATTCCATCCTTCTTGCTCCATGTTTCTTATGATATCATCTAAATAGGAGACATTCTTTGGCTATTCCAGAGATACATATGGGCTGGCTGGCAGTCAATATGTGTGTACTGAGTCTTGTCTGGCAGCTGACAAACAATGTATAACAGTTGGCAGTGAAAGGCAGTGGGGAAGGAGGACTGAGGTAGACAGCATAGTCCTAGAATTATGTTTTAGGCTACTAGGATTACGTTCCAGTATTTTGTAATAAAACGCATCTCCATGTCCTGTCTTTCCTTTGCCTCCACAGGAACTGCTAGTTTAGAGGATAAGGAGGACGAATCAAAGGAAGCAGAGTAATTGGATACAGCTAAAGACAAAGAGCCAAAAAAATGAAATGTCAGAGTAAATCATTTATTATGGTAAACCTGCAATATTTTTATTCATAAAAGGCTGAGTTAAGATACTTTGAATAAACATTTTTGTCACTGTTCTGTCTGGAATATATATCTCTGAAACTTTTATGATCTCAGAGTACGCTCTGAGATGTTGTGTGTTGTCTCACAACAACTAACTTTATTGCATGTAGCAGGTAGTCAGTTGTTGAATTCAGTGCAGGATTATTCTGGATGCAGTTGTATACATGTACTTAAGGTAGGGTCCCTTTAAACTTCTTTTATCTTTCCCAAGGGGTATCTTGCTCCCATCACCCTGCCCCATTTACTTACCACCCCTGCAGCGACTGAATCAAGCGCTCAAGCTCTCTGTGCAAGATTCCCTTTATTTCACAAAAGAATCCAACTTATATATGTTTCAACAAAGATGCAGAAAGTACTAGCGGCATACAGCCAATACTACTAACACAGGAGCGCATATCTGGCTCAGCTGGGATGTTTGCCAGTCCTCAGAACAGTTAAAGATAAAAACATTCCATACACATACTCATGACTGTCTTCAGCCACATCTTCCCAGGCCTACACAAGGCCATCCTCCAACCTGACCTTGTAAAACTAGTTCTTCAAAGGCTTGGCAAACATGCAGCACAACAAATTCTAACGGTCACTCTGGAAAACAAATGCCAGGTGTTCTGAGCTGCTCCCACAACCCCTGAACTCCATTTCTTAGTGTAAGCAGTTATCAGCATGCTCTAAGGTATCAGGTTTAAGTCTCTCCTCACCAGATTTGCAAACCTGTTGGCAAAGATACTCTCACCCCACTTTGTTAGCCCTCCTTGGTCCTCCGAGAGAGACCCATGGTGAGGAAAGCCAAAGCACTAACTATGGCAACAGCCACGTGGCCAGTTTTTACTTCTCAGGATTGTCCCCTCTCCTACCTGACCTCTTCCCATAGAGGATCAAGGGGACATCCTGTGGGTTTCCATGTCCTTTGCCACCCAGAATCCTGCAGTTACTCTTGTTTTGCTCCAGATGTCCCTCAGCAGTATCACTGATGGTCGCACTGATGAGCAATGAGGGATCACAGTCAGGGGACGAGATGAGCCTTGACCATCTCTCTACAACACCCAGTATCTGGGCATCTGCCAAACAGGAGACATCCCATGACAGCACGTCTGGTCAGCAGACAGGTTCCTTTATTCCCTACAGAAGGGGATCTGCAACTGCTACCACTTGCTGCAGGTGCTCAAGCTGGGCACAGCTGGCTCTGAAGCTTTCCTTAGCAGCATCTGTTCCCTTCCCGTGGCTCAATATTATTCGGGCTCAGTACCAACTCTCTGCATTCAGGTCTGAGCAAGGAGGAGGAACATTTCTCCTACTGCCAGAAGTCATGAACTTCAGCAACTTCCCTCAAGGGAGTCCCCATCCACCACTCCATGCAGCACAGCTCCTAGACATCCCTCCACCTCAGGCTCAGGCTCTCACCTCTGTGGAGACTCTGCCGATAGCCCATTTACTCTCCTTAATAGTGAACAGTCTGCACACCACCTTCTGCAAGTCTTTGGACACGCAGCACCTGGACCACTACACACCTCCCACAGGGGAGGAACCCATCACCCACAGCCCCGTGAGACATTCAGACACAACATCCCTCCGCCCAAGCCCTGTCTAGGCTGTCACCACTGATGTGCCAAGGGTACTTTCTTCGCTGGTGCTGGAGATCAGGCCCAGTAGCTCATCAACATTGGTGTTGCACAGTCCCACACTTTGGAGGAGAGTTTCTGCCTTTCCCCAGCACCGGCACAAATTACCAAAAGCTCTGCTTGCTGTATTCCCATCTCCCAGGTGAATAAGCATCCCTACACAGCAGACAAAAACCAGTCCAGCACCCCCTAATCAGCAGGCAGTTAACTACTGAACATGCAGCTCCTTTTAACTCAAGAACTTGTCAATCAGGAAGCAGCCAGCCCGAGAGAGCAGCTGCAGAAGCCCCCTAGAAGCTACCGGAATCAAATGGCATTATATAAATAGTAAGTTAAAAGTACAGAGCAAGGCAGAGCTGCACAAAGTATTGTACAAGCACTAAATGCCACAGACAGATCTTTTCTCCTCTTCTGCAAGGGAATAAAGCTGCTCTGAAACATTTTTTCCTGATAATATGTAAGCAATACCTTAATTATTAACATATGTATCTGTCTGACTGTAATTGACAGTGTCATACTGTAGGAATATTGGTATGAACATTGATGGGCCTGGAGCCTGAGGTAGAGAGTTGCCAGCCAGTAGCAGTTGCTTTTGAAGTAAAATAACTGGGTTTGGCCCAGTTGGGATAAGAGATGTTTTACTGGTATTGCTGAAACAGGATTTAGATTTTCTTATTCTTCATCGCAGAGCAGGAAATCTATACTAAAATTTTAGTATAGGGGAAAGAGGGAAAACATTTTAACAAGTTCCTTTTCTCTACAACTCACAATTTCAGCAAAGATATGTCCAGAATTTTGAAAGTTAGTGATAAAAATGGATTAAAAAAAGTGGAGATAAGGAAACGAGTCATATGAAATAAATAGAGTTTATTACTTCTCCCTTGCAATTTTTTCCTATCAGATATCTCATAGAAAATTCCCGTGCAATCTTTCCCGTCCTATCTTACATGTCATTTTGTTTGCAATTTCTTGTCACACTGACGTGACTTCAGTGAGCATTTTTAGAGGCGGTTATCTTTTCTTCCCTTTGCTTTCTTTGGCAAAGAGAAATGCTGCATTTCCGTCATTAGTGTAGCGAGATCAAAGCAAACTTGGCTTACTAATGTTGGGTTTTTTTTATCTTTTTATAAAAAACTAAAAATCATTAGTTTACTTAGTAAATTTGAGAAATATCTGTACAACATATTTCCCAACTCACTTCCATTCTAAGGTAATCTTCAGGTCAAGCCGAGTTCATTCTTGGATAATTTGTATTACCTTTTCCCCTGCAGCCCTGTACTGTTCATTAGTACATGAGTGACCTCCAGTGGTATACCTGCAAAAAAAATGCATCTTGTCTGGAATACAATCAAGGAAAATTAAGAACAACTGGATTTCTCTAATGTGTTACAAAGTGCTCCTGAGAAGATGGCTTGCTCCTTTTGGAGACCACCAATGCTTTTTTTGGAGGAGACATTTCATTTCACTGTATTTTCCAGAAACACCTTAAGGATAATTTGGAAACTAGTTAATAGTAGTTCTTTCATTCCTATCTTGCAGAGGCAGGAACCCCTGCTGAAACTTGTTGCATGAAGGTGTGTTAAGCCTCTGTCATCCTTCTGCCCCCTAACTTTTCAGTAATGAAGAAAGACCATTTTAGAGAGTACTAGAGCAGACATTTTTCAGACATCTTCCTGAACAGATTAAAAAAAAAAGATGTGCTGAATGCAAGGATATGATGCTGAACTTAAGGCTTTGGAGCTGTCCCTCCAGCTTTTCATTCTTAGATTATCACTCTGGTGTTCAGATTACTTACTCCAAAGGTAGTAAAGTGTTCTTTAAAAATATTAGACCATTTTAACCTATGCATCTAATTTTGGTTTAGGTGCCCAGCTTTTTGCCTTTAAATGATAGAATGATTTGCGTTGGAAGGGAGTTTTAAAGATCATCTCATCCAACCCGCCTGTCATAGGCAGGGACGTCTTTCACTAGATCAGGTTGCTCAAAGTCCTGTCCAACATTACCTTGGTATATCAATGACATGTAAGACATTATGAGTTTGAGGTTAAAAGTCAGTAATTTTCTCCCACATATAAAGCTGTGTATAAAAAAATGGTGCTGAGAGTATCTATGCTCCACATGTCTTAGAAAAACATCAGGAAACCGTATCATGTGTGACCTGCAGAGCTGCTTCTTCCCCAGAGATGGCACTTTTTCCACAGTTGACATGGAAGCTGGTCACAACAGTTCATTGCAGCTAAATGAGGCACTTGGGGTTCTCAAGTTCTTCTCACACCAAGAAGGTCTTGGAGTGCACCTGAACATGTAAATGTTTTAAACCCCTTCAGAGAGAGGTCCATTTTACATTCACAGATGATAAGGGAACAAAGACCTGATTGAGCTGTTGCGTAAAGCAGGCTTTCTCCTCTTTCATCAACTTCATGCTAAGGAGATTTAAGCCGTTTTCTAAGCACTTATGCATGCAAGATGTAGGAAACATCCCTTCTGTCAAATTTTATGAGTCCTTACTTTCTGCAAGTTTCAGGGGCTGCAGGAAGGAAACCTTGCAGTATTGGGGCCTTTTCTCTCCTAAAAAGACTTCACATAGAGTAAAACATGAGTGAACATCATTCCTCTTCTCTAGGAGGATCGTGCTGGAAGGGTTCCAGCAGGCTGTCTTCCCCCCCCTTTCAAAGGCCAATAAATTTGTTACATAGTGTAAGGTAGGTTTTTTTAAACGGGCCATGTACTTTTCAAACATGTTCAGCTTGGGGACTTTTACCGAGTTAGAAATAATATCAGAAATCAAATGTTAGGGGAAGAAAACAGGTTAAGGAGACATGAAATTGTTTTTATAATTGATTCAACAACTTCCCCACATGTGTACCTGTTGTGGTTTAACCCCAGTAGGTGGCTAAGCCCCACACAGTGGGATGGGAAAGAGAATTGGAGAGATCCTCCTTCTTCCTTCAGCTTTTATTGCTGAGCACAACGTCGTATAGTCTGGGCTATCCCTTTGGTCAGTTGGGGTCAGCTGTCCCAGCTGTGTCCCCTCCCAACTTCTCCCCCCCCCCCCCGCCCCGACTACTCACTGGCAGGGCAGCGTGAAAAGCAGAAAAGGCCTTGACACTGTGTGATCACTGTTCAGCAACAGCTAAAACATCCCTGTGTTAAGAACACTGTTTTGGTCACAGATCCAAAACATAGCACCATACAAGACACTATGAAGAAAGTTAACTCCATCCCAGCCAAAACCAGTACAGTATCCCAAAAGGGGTCTTTG